TGCATAAAGAGAGTTAACTTCACTGACATTCTGTGAGTTACTGCTGATCTACTGACACCCACTCTGACAGTGTTCTAGGCTGTCTAGCAAAAGCTTTGACCTGTATGGGGATGTGGTTGCAACTTCTTAGTGTGAGATTTCTTCCATAAGCTGATTAAGGAGTTTGGTTAATATTTCTTCAAACCTGCATATGTCAGTTGCTGCTATTTTTGGATATACAGTGGGCCTTTGCTGTCACTACAGTGAGCAGAGGACATGCTCGAATAGGAGAAAATTGATAATTGTGCTGTCTTGCAAGGCAGCTGAAGAGCTTCCCAGAAAGAACTGCTGCGCTGGAAAACTAATTGTATTAAATGAATTAATAAAAGCAGAAAGTTGTGGTTTCATACCAAGTTTATTTCTTTTTTTCCTCATTAATCACTTCTTTGCACAACAACAACCTCAATTTGACAATGAAATGCACGTGGTAGATTTAAAGGAATCGGACGAGGCTTATCTTAAAGAGTGAGAAAAGTCCATTCATGGCACTATTACACATTCTTTTTTCCTGTCTATTTGGAAAGGACAAAGACAGCACATGCTGCATCCTAAGAAGTGAATCTTGTGCAAGGCCAACAACATTCAAACAGACTATCAGGAGGGAATAGGAGGGCAGTTCTGGGGGGGGGGGTACGGGAACTGAAACACCATCTAATTTTGGACAGCTACCTAGGTGTTTTGAAGTCCGCTTTCGTAGACTGAGCCTCCTTTTGCATGAATAGGAGCCTACTTTTAGGGTCATATTTTTACATAATGCTTATCAAACAGCAACCTTTACAGTTCACTTGTGAAGGTCTCTCCATTTTATATATGAAAGGTGCTCACCAGCCTTGTAGCTCAGTCATAACCATGTTTGCCCAGGTAGTAAGCTTGTTTGGTTTGATTGGACTTCCTTCCAAGGAAGTGTAGCCATAATACCGGTAGTTGTAGAGAAAGTTGATCCACTCATCTGCTAACTAGAATAAGAAATCCAGCAAGCTTGCATCCTTTCTTCACACATCTTACGCACCTCTAGCATCCAGTAGTCACTACTCTCATTCCATTACAGTAAGTTTATGGATTGTAGGAACCCAAATGCTGAGATGTGCCTATGTTGCCATTGCTCAAGAGAGACAAGACCACAGAAATAGCTTTATTAGTGATCCTTAATATGAAAGCTGCTATACAGTAACATCAACAGGGCCATAATCAGTCATTCCTTGCCACTTACTTCCAACTGTCTCTTGTATCTGTGTTTGTGTGTGAATTTTGCCCACATGCATTTAGTGATGTAGTACTTGCTGGCTATAAGTGTACCTGAATGGAGCCATTTGAGCCAGGCAATCAATAAAATACCTAGAGCTACTATAAGGATGTTCATGGAGCAGCAGGAAACTTCATTTATGCTGTAATTGCAGTTATTGGGCAATAACCACTTTGCAAGAGGAACATTTAGGGAAGTGGTTCCCAATTAGCTAAGTACTGCAGGACACTCACCCCCGTTTTTCAAAAGCCAAGTCACGGACCACCTACTTTTGATTTTTTTCTTAATAATAATAGTACCCCACCCATCTGACTGGGTTGCCCAGCCACTGGGTGCATTTTATTATGTGAATGGTGCACAGACCCCTGGGCGGGTGATGCAGACGACCAATTAGGAACCACTGATTTAGAGTAAGTCTCCCCCAACAAGAACACTGGCTTTGTTCAACAACACAGCAACCAAATAGTGCTTGAAATGAAAATTTCCTAAGTGTGCGTGTACAAAGACCATTAAGTCCTTACAACCTCTCCCCCCCCCCCTTAAAGGCAGGTCTGTGGCTCTCTTAAAATAAGTGGAATATTTAGTGCTTGGAATATGATACAGAACTGTTGTAGCCCTTCTTTGGATTTACTAATGATAAATTGCAAAATTTATCTTCTCTTGCACTGAGCAGGGTCCACCAATATGCATATGGAAATGTGGCAACTCAGCTTTGAAAATGTGTAAAGCCACTTTGGGACTCCTAAGCATTGCTTAGTCCCTCTCAGCTGATTCCCTCCCTCCCACAGCCTTAATTTTAGTTGCTGTGGCAGTTAATTTGGTTCATAATCTCAAAGCAGCATGCATTTCAGTAGCACACCTAAATGTTATTAAGACTGAACTGAATCTAGGCACGGATACATAATGAAGAATTTCCAGTTCCATTAAAAAATAATAATTATAAAAGTAGGATCTGCAACAAAATGCAGTGTAGAACACTCCTGTTCAGGATACTCTTCCATGCACATGCTGGTCTTTGGTCCCCTCAACTGTTAGCCGGTGTTCTACAAGCACTGAGCATGCCAAGTCCTCATTGCAGACTGTTTTTAGGATTTTTTTGCTTACTCCTTTAGAATCTCCCAATTTCTTTTTTGGGGGTTCTAGGAATCAAACAGACATGAATTTAATTTGTGGATATGTGCACCACAGTTAAGAATTCTCCACAATCAATTCAAGCGGGTACCTGCCCATTTTATTAGCCCCCTCCTGATTTGTTTGCACCATGAGTAAAATATCCTTATAAGCACCCATTGTAATTCAAGTTATATCCAGTTCTATAGAAAAAGTACTTTCTTGGATGCACTGATTGACACTGGATAAACTCATCCCCTGGCTTCCCTGATACAGCCAAATGTAGAGATCCCGATACATTTGGTATCATTTTCTTTTCACAACATAATGCATCTGTACTGATAACACCTGGTGCAAATTTCCACCTGACAACATGCCTGATAACATCAGCGTACCCTTGGATATGCAGGCTATATCTCAAGGCACTGAAAGAGTTAAAACTGAAGGAAATAAAGATCCCATTCGTCATATCTAAGTGAGCACTATGGGCAGAATTCATTGACTGCCTAAGGCAGCCTTCCCTGGTCTGGTGCCCCCCCCAGATGTCTGGAAGACACAAGGTTGGGAAAGCCTGGCCCTAAGGGCTAAGCTCTTTTGTGTGTGTGCATTGGCCATTAGGATCTAATACCGCAGAACTTCCAGAGACAGCCTTCCAGATATTAGATTCTCACTTCCATCAGCCCTGGCCAAGTCAGGGATGATGGGAGCTGTAGTCCTACAACAGCTGGAGAGCACCAGACTGGCTGTCCCTGGTATAGTGGATGCACACATTTGTAAATCAACCCTAAGACTTCCAGTGATTGCACATATTAGAGTCTCCAGAACACAAGTTATTCTTCAAGAACAGCATCACAAAACCAGGGCTGGTTGTGCATCATTTGCTATGTAGATCTGAAATGGTGAATGGGACCCAAGGAGCAGCCACAGAACACACTGAGCTCCGTGACTGTAGCGTCAGAAAGTGGAAGGAAGCACCTACAGAGAATATGACACCTCTGTCTAGTTGAAAGTTGCGTCTAACTTAAGAGGTAGGCTAGATCATTTGGACCTCAACAGACGAAAACTAAAGTGGACCCAGACCTTTCAGAATGTCAAGACTTCCTTGAATTTCCCCCACTCTGCGCTTTTCCTCCTACCATCCTCAGAACAGTTTATTCCAGTACCTGCTCAACTTACTATTGAATTCTCACACTTTTCCCCCTTGTTTTGATCTGTGTTTCTATCCCAAATCTATAGATTTCTTCATATGTGAAACAGCCCATCTGTTCCAGTAAGCAAAACAGACTGAGAATGCACTGATATTAACTCTTCCTGCTATTACTCTGGCCTAAAGGTAAAGGTAAAGGTATCCCTGCCCGTACGGGCCAGTCTTGCCAGACTCTAGGGTTGTGCGCTCATCTCACTCTATAGGCCGGGAGCCAGCACTGTCCGCAGACACTTCCGGGTCACGTGGCCAGCGTGACAAGCTGCATCTGGCGAGCCAGCGCAGCACACGGAACGCCGTTTACCTTCCCGCTGGTAAGCGGTCCCTATTTATCTGCTTGCACCCGGGGGTGCTTTCGAACTGCTAGGTTGGCAGGCGCTGGGACCGAACGGCGGGAGCGCACCCCGCCGCGGGGATTCGAACCGCCGACCATACGATCGGCAAGTCCTAGGCGCTGAGGTTTTACCCACAGCGCCACCCACGTCCCACTTACTCTGGCCTAGTTCTCACCAAAGCAGTAAGCTGCATAACTTTAGATCAGGGATCTGCAACCTTTAAGACAAAAAGAGCCACTTGGACCCGTTTCCGAAGAAAAAAAACCTGGGAGCCGCAAAACCATTGTGACATTTAAAACAAATATATCTCCGGAGCCGCGATCTGACATTGGGCGGGAAGGTGACGTCGGGACGGTGCATGACTAACCCATGCACCGCCCCCATGCGACGTCACAGCCAGTACAGCGCCAACCACAGTGGGGAGTGTCGGGGTGCACAATGCGCCTCCTCCCCTCGCTAGTATCTGCCCCGGAGCCGCGGCAAAGGTGTAAAAGAGCCACATGTGGCTCCGGAGCCGCGGGTTGCAGACCCCTGCTTTAGACTGTAGGTTGGACTTCATGATGGAATGCTCAGACATTCTTTACTATAAAAATACCCCTGCACATACAAATCTAGGTATCAGAGAAGAGCCTCCCCTTATTCCTGAAATGATAGCTTTCCATATGCATCAGATTCTGTTTTTATAGGGAGGAGCATTCAATCATGTGAGCCCCCAGTTGCAGCCTGAAGTGTTACAGCTCAGGTAGAGGTTGTTCTCCAATGACAAACTAGGTTCCATGCTTGACTCTAAATGCTTTTGATGCAAAATGGATAACTACCAGAGTGAATGCTGCTTTTGAGCTTGTGCTCATGACTATGACATTTCTAGTTGTTGTCACCATTATTATCAATATCAGCCATCATAACCATAGTACTAAAAACAGTATTTACAGCAAGTCAGAAGTACACACCAAGCAAACACCCAGCACCACAGCAAATAAGACATCATTAACATCTTGCAGACATTTTCCCAGGTCCCACCAGAGGACATGGGCACTGAGGACTGCAACCACTTCTTACACACAAACTCTATTTTTCCTTAAAATTTATTTAACATTTTAAACTATCATCACAATAGCATGGATGAGATGATTCTGCATTATACACAGGTGCATTTCTAGGATGGCTGATGCAATAGCTCAGACATTCAAGCCCAATTCTTTCCTGGCTCCAAGCACCTGTCTTGCCACCCCTGGGATGATGCTTCTATTTTCTTTCTGAGCCTCTGAACAGACATTTCTTTGTGACATGGCCCCTTTCTTTGGAAACAAAGCTTTTCTGCTAATGTCCTGGTTCTCCCAAGTGGAAGGCAGGATGTGTGCTGGGGAATGGGCACAGCTCCACCTGACTTCCAGCCAATTTTTGTCTGTGCCTTGACTGGATCAGTTGGCTGAATGCTCACCTGCCCCAGATGGCTTCCCTAATGGTTCCATGGACCTTGGGGGTCTATCCAGTCTAGATTTTTCTTCTAATGAATCTAGGAGGCACACAGTAGTCATGCTTGAGAACTATGGCTCCAATATGGCTGTAAAGGCCTTTTCTACTAGAAAAGAAAATGTCTTACCCCATTTCTGAATTTCAAAGAGAAGCAGTTCCCATAAGAACCCTTACCACCAAAGGGGAAGTAATAGTACAACCTAGACAAGAGAGACACTGGGAGAAGGAGGGGGAAGCATCTACAACATGATGTCACTGACAACATTGGTGCCCCCAAAAGTGGCACATGGGTCATCAAACTGCTTACCTGGTGTCTGAAAAGGCACAACTGAGTTCTGACCAGAAACCACAAAGAATGGCATCATTGCAGATTCAGGAAAACAAAAAGAAAGGAATAGTCAGAGGGAGAGATACTAGGCTAGTATCTAGTAGTATGTAGTAATACCAACTCAAGGACAAAATACTTATTTGTCACTGTTGGGGCTGGCATTGGAGTAAGTTTTGGTGCTCCACAATTCAGGCCCTTCCTTCAGTGGGAACTCTTAAGACTTCAGAACTTAGTTTGATGTAGGCTGAATTGTATGTTTGATTGTGGACAGTCATTGTCTCTCAGCCTTAGCTTTCATCTTAAAAACTGGAATAAGGATGAAATTTTTACGGGGCGCAAAAAATTGCATTGCAATGCCCTTTGTACTAAAAGTGCTATCTAAGAGGTACATAACAGTAGTCAAAGGAACAGCCTTGCATACAGGTAGGATCATTCTCCTTTAGCCCATACAGTAACTCCTTAAATAACGGCAGTGTCATGAGATTAACTAGGGTGACTCTGCTGGAAATGGCAGGAGGCAGATCTTCAATCTGAACTAGGTTATATTACTTAAAAGAGATTAAAGGCCTATCCCACTTTCCATGCTTCTGGTACACTGAAGAGGACTGTCTATAAGTTGTTAACAAAGCACCTTTTGGCTTATGGGACATGAAGGATTCATCATGTGACAGATGAAAAACTCCCAAGCTACCAAATGGTCTCAGTGACATATCAATAGGTTAGAAAGAGTTGTTAGAAAGGGAATGTTGATAATCCTAGTATTTTGAAATACCACTTGTATTTGTAAACAGTTTTCTTCTGCAGGCTTCCCAAGTCTGTTTTAAAATTAAAATCCGTCTAGCACATCCTGATTCCTTTGCACTACTCTCTAGTTTTGGTCCCATCTTTTCCCTGTACGTATGCACTATACAATATGCCAGAAATGTATCATGGAGAGCTCTCTAGATGTAACAGCAGATTGACATCATACTCTGCCCCAAATTGTGCCAATTCCTTTCCTTCCTACAGAGCACTGGCTCCCTACACTGTTCCTTTTGATCTCATCTGTGAAAACTCACAGGACGTACTTTTGAAGGAACAGACTTGGGCCCCCGGCTTACCAAAAAAAAAATGCTTTAAAAACACAACATGTTTAGCTGTGAGCACTGCAACCTTTTGAACACAAAACTAAGATACAGTCCTCATTGAACTCAGTGGGCCTTGCTTTTGAGCAAATATGTATACAGTTGGCCCTACCTTAAAGCTCTGCCTACAATAAATCTCTTCCTGTCAGACTGGATGTTGCATTAGAACCAGCATTCATCCAACCATGTCTGTGATGGGCAACAGGGCCTTCTTAGACCTTTGCCAGTACTTTAAGAATGCCCCAGTCCCCACCACCAAGCGCCAACCCTGCAATAGCTGCTGAGGAGGCAACAGTTGGACAGGAGATTCCACCTGTTCTGGAAGGAGCTAGGCAAGGCTCTTATTCATCTGCTAGAGGGAGGCAAAGCAGTGCAGCTGCTGGGCCTCAGCTGGAATGAAAGGGGGGGGGGACCTGGAGGATATTAAAAAGCCTCAGAGATGGGGAAGTGGGGCAGTGGAAGTTCAGGAGACAGGCTGCCCTTGTTTCCTTGCCAGGGGCCATCTTCAGACTCCTTAAGCCCCACTCAGTGAAGCCAAAGAGGGGATAGTTTACCTGGCCTCCCTTCCTCCACACAAACACATTGAAGTCCTGGGCTTAAGTCTGCCAAGGCCAACAGCGTGGAAGCCAGGCACCCAAGGAGAGGAGGCCTACAGAAGGGCTGCACTTGCTGTTGAGACCAACCTGGGGCATGGCAGAGGCTGGCCTGCTGAAGGAGAGGACCTGAAATAAAGTCATTCTTGCAGCAGACTAGAGGGGAGTCAGTGCCTTCTTTGACCCCTTAGCTGTGGGTCCAGGGGAAATAGGGAGCACCGTCCCCCTTCCCTGGGGTATGGCACAATGTGCCATGAGGCACATCATTTCTATAGTGGTCGACTTTTTCTTAACCCTCACAGCAACCAAGTGGCATTCTTTAGGCTGAGAGACAATAACTTGAAAAGGCCACCCGCTGAACTGCAGAGTGGGAGGTTGACCACACATACCTCACCCCCGAGCCAATGCCATGTCCAGCCTAATGGGCGAGGCATGCTTTATTTTTTAGATTCCACTATAAAAAAGAAAAGTTATCTGGATTTAAATGTCAAAACACACGCACTTGGAATGGCATATGCATATTTGAATGGCTGGCTTTCCCTGAAATTAATATGAAAGCAAAAGCTAGGAACTTATGAAACTTCCTTATACTAAGTCGAACCATTGACCCATTGAGCTTAGTATTCCGGAAACAGACTGGCAGCTGCTCTCCAGGAGTTCAGACAAGGCAAAGGAATGCCAGGGATTGAACCTGGGACCTTCTGCATGCAAAGCAGATGCTCTAAACACTGAGTGATTGCCCTTTCCTTATATATTTTCTCAGTTGTGGCTGCTTCTGTTTTATTGAGAAAGGGGACTGGATCCAGCTATTTAAACATGCATGCGCTATAAAACCTTTATTTTAAATTTGTTTACTGTTTTAACTTTTGAAAAAGGCAGGATAAAGCCCTTTTCTCCCATCAGGCATTTAGGGACTGAGGAAGATTAGGGTGGTTTTTTGTTTTTCTGGTTGCAATTTCTTTGAATTTCATTACAATTTTGAAAGCATAACACTGCCTTAATTTCTGCATTTTGATTGTTTTAATACCACGAGCAAGAAGGAGGGTTATTAATTAAGTGAACAATATTGACAACTGATGGTGCCAAGCATCTATTTTGCTGTTTAAAGTTGGGTAATTTTTGGACCCAATTGTTTTAGGGGAATGTGTATATTGGCTCCAACAGACCTTTGGACTGCTGAAGATTGTATCTGAACATTTCTACTAGCTATGCAGAATCATATACTCTACTTTTGGTGGGGAAATAAAACTATTCAGTTGCTTTCACATTTGTATCTCTGAAACGTCACAATTAACACAGATGCACATGTTCTACCATGCCTCCCTGTTACTTTTCCTAGGCAGTCTCCCCTCCTTACTTATAGGAAGTTACAACAATCAGAGATGGTGACAGAGGGTTTTATGTCCTTTGCAATATAGTACCTGAAAAAACCAAAGGTGTGTGATCTGTACCCCAGTTCTGCCTCCTGTAATGCTACTGACAAGATGCTTCCATCCTTAGGGGGAGGTGTGGCTTACCACCATATTTAGCTAGAGTCCTGCACATTGTATCTTTTCTGAGGATGTGAATAGTCAACGTGAAATACTGGTATCTGAAATACTCCAGATTTCAAGATGCCTCTTGTTTACCACAGAACTTTTGATCATGCAGTGGCCTTGCCTAGCCAGTTTCTTTGCCCTGAAGAGAAATCTTGTGAAAATAAAAGCATAGTTCAGTTCATAGGCATGATTAGGTCTGAGGCTAAACAGGCTCTGAACGACTAAGTTAATTTACCAACAGCTCCAAATCAGACAACAGAAAGCAAGGAATAAGCTGCAAGAGGCTCTTTCTAACCAAATCCCTCAATCATCCAGTCCCTACTTCAGCCACAGAGAAAGCTAAGGGCTTAGTAGGTCCTTTTCACACATTGCAGAGTGGCAGAGACATATTGCCACTGAAGCAATGCCCAGCAAGAAGCCATAGCCAATACTGGTTCAGCTGTGTTGCCCTCACTTTACATTTCAAGTTTACTTTTAAAAGCTATATTTACGTCTTTAAAAAACCCTGTAACATGTGAAATTGCCCATTACCCTACTTGTCAAGGACAGGCTTCTCTTTGTCCAACTGCACACTGTTGCTTCACTTGAGACAACTACCAAGAGCAGCCCATGCTTCATAGAGAACAGTCCTCACCTTCACAACATTGCCAAATATGTTCAGCGTGTCATCTTAATTTTTGTGCATTAGTTTAAGGTTTATCTTTTTTTTTTCCTGAAGAAAAGCCCAAAGAGAAGCTGGTTTATGGATTCTATATTTAATGTTTGTGGACTAGTTGCTATTCTGCTGAGAGGCCCCTAGGAACCCCCACGAGTTAAGGATACAGAGAGGATAGAGATATGAAGCTTGGTACACCAGAGGGAAGGGTGGGTGGGTGGGGGGAGGGAAATGGAAATGGAGAAATCAGATGTTGCCTCATCTAGACAAAAAAAAAAAAGTGTTGAGTTTTGTTTGTTAGTTATTAGGAAGCAGGTGCTAGTTGTGTAGAAAAGCCCTTTATCCAGAAATCTCTTCCCGCTGCTCCTTGTTTCTGCGCACCTCAGCTGCGTGCAATTCCTGAAAGAGACAGAAATGAGATGCAGTGTGAAAAGTATTCATGGACTTCCGGGTTAGCGCCATCGGCTAATGGCGGATTCCCTCCAAGCTCCGGAGGGAATCGGCTCCGCAGGATTAGGGTCTTACCGCTGCGGCGACGCGGGGACCCTTAAAAATCACAGGCGGTGAAGCCTGTGAACCTGGTGACTCGGCGGGCACCATTTGCGCCCCCCGACCTGCGAAGGAGCCTTTTTAAAGGCTTCGGAACGGGGGACGGGGTGAGCGGCGCGGTGCTGAGAGTCGACTGCTTCTCCTGCGGAGTGAAGCCGCGCTGCCATGGCCAGAGAGCGCTGACTTCTTCTTTTGAATTGGACTCTAAAACAACAACCCGTGAGTACTACGGAAATTGGACTTATAAAGGACAGCTTATAATTGGACTTATAAAGGACAGCTGATGCTTCCTTGCTGGTCTCAAGCAAATTTCAGTGGGACAAACTTGCTAGTCCGCTGCAGAAGAAACAGGGGTCTTTAGGCATCTTAAAGACTAAGGGCTATCTCCAACTAAGACCTGCTCAGAGTAGACACACTGAAATCAATGGATTCCAGTAACTTGAGTCCTTTGACTTTAATGAGTCTACTCTGAGTGAGACTTCATTGGCGATCACACTAAAGACCGAACTAGATCTTCCAGTGTGAGCGCTGTAATCGGTTCTCCTTTGGTTTTTAAAAAGGCAAATGCACTGGGAAATGGGGTGGTGGATCAGGGCTGTGGTACTAAGGGAAAGGGGCTTGACCCTTTCTCACGTGTATTTTCCCCATCAAAATCACTCACTGTCAAGGAGCTGCTCTGTGTTCCATCATAGTACCTGAATATTTTTCTCCATGGGAAGCAGCTTGGGGGATGGGGGTGGTCTGTGTATTTGGATCAGGGAAATGGGGCTGGGGGTTTTTAGCCTGGGGAAAGGACACAAGGGAGACCCATCTGCATCTAACCATTCCATTATAGTACTGTAGTTGCATTTGCCCTTTAAACCTCCCCAGATCATTTATTTCATTTGGACAAGACAGAAGTACTGTTCGTGGGGGACAGGAGGCGGGCGGGTGTGGAGTATTCCCTGGTCCTGAATGGGGTAACTGTGCCCCTGAAGGACCAGGTGCGCAGCCTGGGAGTCATTTTGGACTCACAGCTGTCCATGGAGGCACAGGTCAATTCTGTGTCCAGGGCAGCTGTTTACCAGCTCCATCTGGTACGCAGGCTGAGACCCTATTTGCCTGCGGACTATCTCGCCAGAGTGGTGCATGCTCTGGTTATCTCCCGCTTGGATTACTGCAATGCACTCTACATGGGGCTACCTTTGAAGGTGACCCGGAAACTACAACTAATCCAGAACACAGCAGCTAGACTGGTGACTGGGAGCGGCCGCAGAGACCACATAACACCGGTCTTGAAAGACCTACATTGGCTCCCAGTACGTTTCCGAGCACAATTCAAAGTGTTGGTGCTAACCTTTAAAGCCCTAAACGGCCTTGGTCCAGTATATCTGAAGGAGCGTCTCCACCCCCATCGTTCTACCCGGACACTGAGGTCCAGCACCGAGGGCCTTCTGGCAGTTCCCTCCCTGTGAGAAGCCAAGTTACAGGGAACCAGGCAGAGGGCCTTCTCGGTAGTGGCGCCTTCCCTGTGGAACACCCTCCCACCAGATGTCAAAGAGAACAACAACTACCAGGCTTTTAGAAGACATCTGAAGGCAGCCCTGTTTAGGGAAGCTTTTAATGTTTGATGTATTATAGTATTTTAATATTCTTTTGGAAGCCGCCCAGAGTGGCTGGGGAGGCCCAGCCAGATGGGCGGGGTATAAATAATATAGCTGTCTAGCTGTCTAGCTGTCTCATCTACTTGCACCCTCAGTCTAATGTTTGGAACTATTTAATTTTTTCTCAAAATGCAACAGCTGCAGCAAAAAGTAGAGTTCATTTTGTTAACACAGTTTTTAAGGTGCCTTTGAGAGGAACAAAGGAGCCCCACAGAGGAGGCTCATGGTCCCTGGAATCACCTGTGATATGAAACGAGCTGGGGCATGCTCTTCATATCAGAAATGATGCTGGTAAGTGTGGGATTTGTTTGGTGTGAGCCTCTGGCACTTACCTTCTCACGGAGCCGCTCCCTCAAGGCAGCTAGATGAGCTTCACGGATCTCCTTGCTCAGCTCCATCTTGTAGTTGAGCTTCTCCTCAGCCAGCCGGCTGAAGTTGTTGTTCTCTTCTAAGGCCTTGTGCAGCACCTCCCTCTCATGCTCCCGCTTTTCCGCCAGTTGCTTCAGGACCTGAGCCTCCTGGCTCTACAACGCAACCAGAAAACCAGATTAGATGAAAAGGCTCCTGAATAGCCAACTGTCGGTCAATGTGCCTGTGCATCATCTTTTTGGATGGAGTTTATCACAATGCCTGGCTACCCCATACCAGATAATATTGTACATGGTATCTATTACACATGCTCTATTGCAGAGGTGGCTTAACCCCCAGAGGCTGCCTAACAATTGTGGGTGTTTATCACCCCTTCTCTACACATTAAATGATGGTTCTGATGTCTAGGAAGGGGGGAAGTGCACCCCCATAAAGGTGCTGGGTTGAGTGGAGACTTTCAATCCTTCCTTCCTTGTCTACTTTACTGTGTTCCTTTTCCCCACTGCTGCAAAAACTGGTCGGGTCCTGATAGAGGTAGGGAATTTACTTGGAGGTTAGCCACTCTGCCCTGTCAGTTCCTCTGTTGCTTTCCCCTCCCCTCAGCTCCCTTGCATGTGTGGTGGAGCCTTATATGTTTATCCTGTTTCTCTAATAGCCTTTAAATAGTTTAAAACAGGGGTCGGTAAGGTTTATCTTGCCTGGGCCGGAGCAGTCCTGCGGAGATCCATCTGTGGGCCGGAATGTGTGCGTGCAAGTGCACGCACCCACAATTTCTGGCATCTGTGTATGTGCAGACATGATTTCTGGCGCCGCGGAAGCGAGTCCCCGCACCATGCTGCACCGGTTTAGCGCAGCGCGCAAGCGGGCAACTCAGTTCAGGGGCAGCTCATGGGCCGGTCAAAGGACCTCCGCAGGCTGCTTCCGGCCCATGGGCCTTAGGTTGCTGATCCCTGGTTTAAAACATCGGGTGTTTCAATGTCCATAATACCTGTGTTTACAATGCTGCATTAGCCAAATTTACACCTGCAAACCAGGTGGGTAGTGTTTGGAAATAAAACAGGTATCTGGAACTTTGCTCTCTATCCACTGAATTTATTTATATTACCATCTAGGATTTGTCTGTTTCTTAACATTACTAAGTTTTTTTTATCCCTTCTGGGTCAGCTAATCTTCCAGTTTCTTTGCACTAGATGTAATTTTACTCATGACCAGAGTGGAAAGGAGAAAGGGATTGGGGTATGAATATTCAGTAACGATCTTGCCCATAAGCTGCAGCATTCACTAGGTAAAACACTTCAGTCACATAAGCCCTTAATGTTATTGATAATGCACTAGTATTATTTACAACCTGGTTGGTCTCCTTCAAAAGAGAGGGACAGATCTTCATTTCTCCTCTGCCCACATACAACATTTTGGAAGACTCTGAACCACAGAATAGCAAGGATTTTCATAAGCCCTCACCAGCACAGGATTTTAGCTCTAGTCAAAGCATTCTTAGAAGGCATTCTCTTGGGCTCACTTCAATGGCAATTCCTTGACAATCCCATTACCTTCCTCCTCTCTTCTGCAGCCTCCAGCCTCTTCTGCAGCTCTTCCAGGGACAGGTCCCTCTTCTTGGGGGGAGAGGAGAGGACTGGGCTCTCAGGGGACAAATCAGAAGGTGACTTCAGAATCACTTCAAAGCTCTGGCCAGAAGCCCTCTTGTCCAGCTGCTTGACCTCCATATCTGAGCAAGAAAAAGACAGGCACCAAAAGGATGAAGAGGTGTGAACTGTAGTGTCAAATAAGGTCCTAGCAGCTTAGGCCCTGAGCATCTGAAAGACTGCCTCCTCCTCCTTTGCAGATCCTCTCAGGTTTCAAGATCAGCAGAGGGAGCCATTTAGATATTCTGAGGGTTGCGGCCCAGGAAAGAGCATTCTGTGTGCCAGCTCTTAAGCTGTGGCATTTCCTCTTCAGAGGCGCATCTGGCACCTTCATTGCATAGCTTTTGCCATGCTGAAAATGCACCTCTTTACCCTTGACTTTGACACATGAGATATGCAGATATATTTTAGAATCCACCCTAGTCTTTGGGTTGTAAATTGTTTTAACTGACTTCAATATTGCGCTTTAACTTATTGTAACCCACCCTGGAACCTTATGGAGAAAGGCAGGTAAGAAATCAACCAACCAACCAACCAACCAAATAAATAAATAAATGTGCTGTGTCATAACTTTTTCTTCATTGTAGCTGGAGCAGTTCTAATGGTCTCTCAAATACTCCTTCCACATGTATGAATCTTTAGGATTTACGTAAGTGCAGAGTCCTCCTTAAGTATTAAGGCTGGTTGCAACTAATCCTGCATAGCTGATTCAGTTCTGAATGCTAATGGAACATAAGCTGTACAACCAGTGAAAGTTATCAGCTAATGTGAGTGTTGTGCAGCCGCTGTGGCTTCAGACTATGCCACCAATGCCAATCATGATATATCACCCTCTGCAGTGGGCTGGCAACTCTTGGGGAATGGCTGAGACCCTGCACTGCTTGCAGGTGTTAGGCATGCTGAACAAGGGAAGAAAGCAGGGCAGAAGGAGAGGAGACTTCCAAGGTGCAGGAGGAATTTGAAGTCCACGAAGAACCGACTCAGTCTCTTCAACAGATAGCTTGTGCTCTCTCTGAGACTTACTGATAGAAATGCCATGGATCAATATATTGTTCTTAGTGCGCCCTTGAGGTCTGCTTCCCTTCTTCCTATCACAAAACGGGCTGCCTGACACTAAAAAAACCCCTTGTAATATGATTCTATGGAATTTCGAATACAGTAATAAAATAGCACACCTCCACAGTAAACAAAGGCTGCAGTCCTGAGCACAGTTGGGACACTAAATTCCCACCAGCTTCAGTAGGATTTAAGCAGACAAATGCTTGAATCACATGTGTATGTACATCACTGGATTACTCACTGCTTGATGACTTGCAACTGAATGTGCGAAATGACTTGCTTTGTTTAGTCATTCTATTTATATCACATCTTTCTCAACAGAAAAACTAAAAAAAAAATATCAAAAGAATGTATAGAAGAAAAAGTGGGTCAAAGTAGGCTTGTGAAAGGAGCTTCGTTTCCCCTCTCCCTCTCTGTTTGCTACACTTCAGAATGGCGGCCTTCTAATGGAATTGGAGCGGAGTGGGAACTTGTGGGCAGTTGTCTGGCAGGCCCCTGGAACCGCCTTGCTATCCCTTTATCTCCTGCAGAATGGCCAGCCATGTCTTAATTTAACACACATACTCCATATTACGGGAAGCGGGTGGTGCTGTGGGTTAAACCACAGAGCGTAGGACTTGCCGTTCAGAAGGTCGGCAGTTCAAATCCCCGCAACGGGGTGAGCTCCCGTTGCTCAGTCCCTGCTCATGCCAACCTAGCAGTTCGAAAGCACGTCAAAGTGCAAGTAGATAAATAGATAAATCTGGTGGGAAGGTAAACGGCGTTTCCGTGCGCTGCTCTGGTTCGCCAGAAGCGGCTTTGTCATGCTGGCCACATGACCCAGAAGCTGTACGCTGGCTCCCTTGGCCAATAAAGCGAGATGAGCGACGCAACCCCAGAGTCGGTCACGACTGGACCTAATGGTCAGGGGTCCCTTTACCTTTACTCCATACTATATGCCCATTCAACCACTTCTGAGTGCAGAACTGGCACTTTTATGAGTAGTGCTCATTCTGCACTTGTAAGGAATTGATCTTTTAGTGTGGCAGCAGCTACCCTCTGGAACTCCCTGGTCACTGACATTAGGCAGGCACCTTCGCAGTACAGCTTTCAGCATCTGTAAGCCTACCCAGATATGAAAAGTTGGACATCTATTTAAATACATAATTTTATTTTATAACCTACACCTTTAACTGCTGATTCTATTTTTTTTTTAGGTTAACTTGTTTTAAACCCCGACTTTTAGTGATCAGTCAGGTCAGCAGTATGAGATACTTACCTCCATATTGGTATATGGTATTTGGGTGTGGCTGGGTGTGGAAACAGGAACAGATCAATGAAAGCAGAGAGAGTTCCTTCATTTTCTCTTTGTACGCTAGAAAGACAAAACAAAAAAACCAACAGTGAGCAAAGTTCTAATGGCAGCCATTTGCTATTTTCAGAGGACATGGAGTAAAATGTTGACCCACACCACAAGCCTGGGTTGTTCTTTAGAGCTATTTCCAGAATCTCAAAAGGGGAAAACCAAGAGTGTTTGGACATTTCCACCATAAAGCAAAATGGTAAAACTAGCTTTCTTAGGTAAGAAGAGAGTGGAAAATACTTTGTAGTTAGAAAAATGGATGGGTTGTATCCAACTAACTTTTACTCAGTGCTAACCCACTGAAATGAAAAGATCAAAGATAGGCATGTCTATTCATTTTGGATGCAACCCAATGACTCTTCTATTCATTTCCATGGGGCATCTGCATGGGAAATTCATTGTGGATTGTGCCCCTGGGTATTCATCTCCTTGCTCAGGTAGGCTGTTTTTCTCTTTACTAGAAACAGCTTTCTTTCTGTCCATTTCAAAAAACTGTTGTCCTATCCAGTGCAATCCACTCCTCTCCCATTTTCTAATTCCTCAGACAAATCTGATTGCAATTAAAGGTGCACTATGGAACACAAACATGAAGCAGATATGCAGGCCATTGAGAAACATCTGGCTGACATAACAGGGTGAGTTTTCTGCTTCATCAGCTCGGACCCAGGGACCAGGGCAGCATCACAGTCAGCCACTTGCCAGGTTGAATAGTATTTCTTCCTGGGTGAGTAGCTTACCAAAGTCTTCAGACAAACTGCTATCTGACCCATACAGTGGGATTCCTCTGGTACTTCTCTCCAGCATTAGGCTAGTGGTCTGTTGTTTACCCTTCCTCATAACACAAAAACAAGGAAGAGTAAAATGGAAAGAAATGGACACCAGAAAGAGAACAGCCAAAATGAGCTAGTCAATGGACAGACAGTTGAATTATGAATTGGTTCTAAATTGCTTTTGCTGAGTGCATGTCTGGGTCCTATACTACTCTTATAACATCTGTTGAAGAGGGGTCCTAATTGGGCAACTTTCCACTTTGCTCCTGACAGTGTTTAGTAACACTGCCAGTTGCCAACCCTTTCAAATTGGCATTAGTGTAACAACATGAGGGCCAGCCCTATGGAAGTGGCTCCTGTATCCTTGAGGTACGGTAATACAATACAAAACAAAACAAAACAAAACAGTTTGTGGTCCAGGGAAGTAGGCCCAAGTCTGCCCCAAGTCATTGTTTGGTTCTGGACAAGTTACTTTCCATTCTGTAAAATGGGAATGTCAATGACTTACTTTGTGCGGACAGGGAGGGGATTTGCAAGTTTAAGATTGCTTTATCTTTGCAAAAGAAGCAAAGTTATAAAACAATAAGCAAAAGGATATTTTCAGACAGAAAACTGCAACATATAGAGTTCAATGTCATAGAGTAATAAATGGCAATCTTATGAATGGAGTTCATAACAGGGATTCTACATACGCATAATTAGTGGTGAATAGTCTCTTTAGTAATCAAGTAGCAAGATAATCTGGGGATCTCATGTCTCTCAGCCTCTATCTACCAAAAGCTGCCAGTAAACCAGAGCACCTGCTGACTGCATCTCACTGTATTAACAGAAGTAAGATAACTATAGTGAGATGCTGGCAGCCAGTGCTCTGGTTGCTAAGTCTCATGGATAAGACACTCTGGATAAGTTAATTAACCTAAATAATATATATTCTGTATTCTGAAATCTTGTTCTGAATTACTTAAAAATTATCAAGGGAAGCTCCCGTGAGAAGTAAGGAAGTTGCAAATTTAACAAGATATTCAAATGTACTTACTTGTATGACAAATTTAGGAAACATACAAAATCCAAAATTTGCTTTTAATGTTCGGCTCATCTCTAAAGAGCGTTCTTGGCTGGACACAGCACTGCCATGTGTGACCAGCAAACCAATCCCATCAGTTTCCTTGCTTCTTTTGTTTATTTTTGTGTAAGAAACTAAGAAGAGCAAGTGAGTCAGTTGAATATGTATGTGTGTGTCACATGTGAATGTACATAAATTCAGGAAAGAATTCAAAAAAGAACCAAATGCACCTTATTGCCAATGTAGGTTTTAGGGGCCAACTTAACTCATCTGATTTAAGCTTCGCGTGTGGAAAACAACTCAGCTGTCTGCCAGTTTACTTTTATGGCAGGCACAAGCAATGCATATCAAACCTGCATCTGCAGCTGGAGGCAATATATGAATAATGGATTTTAAAAAAAGCTGGGCTGCGCAACTGTCCCTGCCCCCTACAATCTCCATTTGGGTCTTGTATTTAAAAGGTCCTGCCAAATACTGCATAATCTCAGCTGCTGAGTCTTCTTGCCTGCAAGCCCAATGCTGGGGCATCTTTCCGTCTCGGCCCCAGCCTCTCCCCAATTTTGTCTTTTGTGCTCTCCTCCTATCATGTAGTGAAGCCCCCTTCCCCTTCATCAATTAAGATAAAAGTGGGAGGAAGACAAATACATCCCAGCTGCTGTCAGCAGCCTAATGAGATGAGGAAAGCAGGATGTGTACATCTCCTGGCATTTCAGACTCTCTAACTCCATCTTGGCGCCAGCGATCAGCAGCAATTAGCCGATTCCAGTCAACACAAATTGAGGGAGGGGAGGAGCCCTTCTCTTGGCTGTGGATGTACTGGAGAGCCAGGGAGAAGCCACAGGGGAAGAAATTTGGAGGAGCTTTTGCTCCGAACTCAACCCCTTGCAATTAAATGAAGTTTTAGCTGAGCCTTCCAGCTGGAGCCATGTTTTGTCACAAAGCAGCTTTGGGAAATGCAAAGAGAGAAGCTGTCCTTGCTCAGGGCTGCTTTCCCAGAGCCACCCGGCCTTCCCCCATCTCTGCAGGCGCAGAGTCCCTGCACAAAACCCCTTTGGTCTGCCACCCACTTCCCTTCTGATTCGCAAGCAGAGCTCAAGGCTGAAGGTGAAGGAGCTGTTCTTCCAGCACCACTTCTGGCTGAGTCCGCTGCCACACAAGCCCGACAAAGGGCCACACTTAATGAGTTTCTACCACAGATGGGGATAATTTCCATGTAAGAAATGTCAAATCACTTGCATATGCATTGTTATGTGTGTTTATTTTGCAGCTTGTACTGTCTGGATTCACTCAGTGTTGACTTTGGCTGAAATGTAGCTCACTTTGGCTTTAATGAGTTTGTATGCCACATTAACAACAGTCACACACAAGGCACAAACGGCAGGCGAGCCCCTCAATGGCCATGAAGGTCCACTGGAGCTTCATGTGAGAAGACACACCTCTTCTCTTTAGCCTTGATTTAGCACTTATCCACTCAACAATATTTTTTCTCACATTTGATAACACTCTGCCTTTTAACAGCTCTGTGGAAGTTTAGAGTATTGTACTCTTTAGCCACCTTGTTCAGGAAAACAGTAAATAAAGTGTTTCAATGAGAAACTCATCGTATTAAGAGATCTTGTGAATGGTCACTGGGACAAAATATTATTCAAAAGGGTATTTGAAAAGACCTCGAGCATATTGTCAAATCCCAGACAAAATCCCAATCAATAAAAAAATAACAGTAGCTCCCTTAGTGTTTGGTTTTCTTTGTTTCAAAGTGGTTGGCTACTGACTCACTACATTGCCCAAATGGAGTTTCCCTGCAGCAAGATGCCCTAAAATCTAGTTAGTCCTGTAATGTACAATTTTGTGACAAGATCTGTAGTCACCTCTTAAGGGACAGTCTGACCTGTACTTTAAAAGCTGCCCTGAGTGGCTGGGGTAACCCAGTCAGATGGTGTGTGTGTGTGTGTGTGTGTGTTGTGTTGTTGTTGTTGTTGTTGTTGTTGTTGTTACTATTACTATACAGTGGTACCTTGGTTTATTAACAACTTGGATTAAGAACACTGCAAACCCGGAAGTAGGTGTTTTGGTTTGTGAACTTTGCCTTGGAAGCAGAACATGTTGAGTGTGTTCCATTTGTAAATTGAGTCCCCTGCTGCTATGGGAAAGCACGCTTTGCTTTAAGAAAGCTTTGGTTTAAGAACCAACTTCCGGAACGGATTAATTTCGTAAACCAAGGTACCACTGTAGTTATTATTATTATTAGGCAATCCAAGCCAGGCCAAGTTGCTTTGGAGGTTGTTAGGACCTAAATCAATTGACAAGTTGGTTTGGAGCCTTGTTCCCTTCCGAATCTACAATTCTATGTTCACAATTCCCTAAATAACATTGATCTTCACAATCGTCCTCTAATGCAAGCCAATATTAGTACCATTTTACAGAGGTACAAACTGAGGCTATTTGCAACTTGCTCAAAGCCACCCAGGAAAGCTAAATCTGAGCTGCCATCAGAGTCCAGTTCTCCCAGCTCTGAGCAAGACCTTGTTCAACAAGCTACCTTTGCTCTTGCCTTCCTTTGTAGAAGTGGGGTGACTGGAATGCTGTGAACAGGCTATGCTTGCCCCAGGGATGATAAAAGTCAACATATGTGTGGGGAAGTACATAGGAGCCTGATGGAAAACTTAGTGTGCTGATTCTTTGAGTGATGTAGCCATCTCCAGGATTTGCAGCATTGCAAGGTCAGCTGCCTAAGTTCTGATAATCCTCTGGGGGCCTAACTGAAGGCAACAAAGCTCCAGTTCAGAAGCACTTATAGATTTATAGATCAAAAAGTCAATAATGCATAAATGGGGGTGGGGGCGAGAGGACAGGAACAAGGGAGGAACGTGAGCATATGAATAGTGATCCCCAAGGGAAAACACACACATTGCTTTGGAGTCCTTGTATGATCAAGGTAGAACAACGCAAGAACTATGCTGGCTCTATAATGGGAAATGCATTAATCATTACTTGAAGAGATCTATCAAAGTCATCTCAAGGGGGAACTAGTCAATAGTTCACTTTTCCTTTAGACAGATGGACACAGTAAAGGCCATCCAGGAAGCTTCTCTGACCTTGCTATTGATTTTCTTTGTAAACCACACAGCTTTGCTGCCTCACTAAGATGCCAATGGGGCAAACTGCTGCAAATGCCTGAT